GACGGCTGATGAGCGGCGTCACCTGGACTGTCTTAAGGGCGTTTGATAGCGCAATGCAATGTGTAATCACGCAAGGGGTTTGGCGGCAACAGTGTGTGCTGCAAGTGATAAAGCAAAGAAGGTATGGATGGATTGGAGAGGACCGTTGGCTGGTTAGAAGATTCTTAGTCTGGTGCTGAAGGCGAGGTGTGTACACTTAGACCCACGCGAGGCGCCTGCTTGACCATTCTGGAATCTGCCATGCTATTGCTTCGTGTGCATACATATACGGGAGCCGCTTTCAAAATTCTCTGTACTTCGGGCTTGAAATCATGGAAGTTTGCAGCCTTCAAAATGCTGTACTTGTACCATATTTGCATCTCAAGTGTGAACCCAAGAAAGGCAATGTGACACCTATGCGATATTGCATGATGAGCAAAGAATGAGACGGTGGCCTTGGTGCTGTGACAAGAATTGCGAATTGCGACTGGACGCCGCTCGCTTACCCACGTTTCTCGCTTGGGACAAATATCATATATAAGTCCTCACGTGGTACACCACCCAATCGAGCTTTTGAATACAAAATCACATCTGATATTTGTCTCCCGGCATGGAACACATATGTATACTTTCCAGAATGTCTCAACAGAGAAAGCGCTAGCGCTTTCTGCTTTCTTTTTCGCTTTCACTGCGCTAGCGCAGTGACTCAAAGTGCATGTTTCATGTCATAAAGCATAGCTGCTCTTTTGCAGGGTTTCCATCAGGAAGCACATGAAAGTCCGTCGAAAAGATTAGAAAGTAACATGCTGCTGATTCAATCCATCAATCAATTCCACTTATTCTTCTCAAAGCCATCGGGGGCTCATAAGTCGAAAGTTTAAATGCAATTTTGAGTCTTCAACTGTCTCAACAAAGCTAGCATCCCTCTACGGGTTTGTCTGTCCAAAAATATGGCATGATTTGTGTATGTGTTGGCCTACATACAGATTGAAATCTCGAAAGCCTCGACGATAACAATAAGAATACCGTGGAAGCCGTGAGTGGAACTAGGGAGTTGCCATAAAGGCCCTAAGGGCCCGGAATTCACCATTATCGCGACCGTTCCCACCCAGTTCCGACCAGAGCACTCCCTGGCAGCAAGCAGATGCCCCAGATTGGTAGGTCACTCACGTTGACGCTGTTGGAGGCAGCTTTGCATTGCTGCCATCCAGCTCGGTTCTAAAGAATTCCAGGGGTGACTGGGATTCCAGGTCACGAGGTGACTCGGAATTCTGGTCACCAGGTACAGGTGGCGCTGGCGAGGTCTGGCGTCTTTTGGCGCCCTGCGGCGGAGCTTGAACTTCATTGTTCTGCTGCCAGGGGGTCCTTCTAGAAGCAAGAAGATGCTTCTGTGAGTCAGCATTAGGTCAGCAATCGGTGACTTTGCACAGTTGGCGGCGGCACCCGATGGCGGTCCCTGGCGGCCCTCGGCAGCTTTCTGAGCTCGTTTTGATGGGGTGCAATAATTTCCTCTTTCAATTCTCAAACAAACAAAGGGTCCATTTCTGGAGGGAGCTTCGTGGGAAGCTCCAAAGCCGGCAGTCTCTGATTGGCGCGTCGTGCACGCAGGCGGCTGGACATCCTCGGGTAAGGTTGTTTTGCTTTTGTAGCTCTTTCAAATGACAATACAGGCCCCCACCTGTACAAGGCCGCGCGCTTGAGAAAATGCCAGACAGCATCTGATTCACTTGATGGCCTGCACTGACTGTGGTGGGCGGATGCTTCTCGTCTGCGAGAAGGGCTTGCTGTCAAAGCAGGCCTTCTCAATATGACCTGGGTCAGCCTGACTCTCATGAACAACACCACTGAACATGCGTGCCGTGCGAGATTGCTGCAGTTCAAAAATGGGCATGGAAAGGCATATGCGCAAGTGCCATGAGCTCTCATACGGTTCGAGCATCATTTGGGTCTGTCGCCGCACAAAAGCATACTGGTCGTTGTCAAAGGCAGGGATGAGAGCACCTGATCTAGAACAGGCTACCGTTGGCAAGTTGATTTCTGATCCGCGTAGTATGTCTGCATGCAGGCTGATTGCCCACCTACAACGGACTGTGTGGACAGTGGCGCAGCGCGCCAGAATCCGAGGTAAACGTCTTGTGCTTCAGGTTCCTACGCTTGTGCGGCTGGCCGACTTGCGGACTTGCACGGTGACAAGGTTGTGCTTTCAAAGTGAGCCCGTCTCATCTCAGCTGATGGACTACATCCTGTTCTTACCCAACATCAATTGCTCGTCATTTTCTACTCTCGAGGTATCTGCTGAGTGTTTTCTGGTCATGTTTTGCAGTGGATGGCCGAGACGGCCACACCGCCGCAGCAGGAGCCAGCAGCCTTGCTGTTTAATGGGAAGGAAGGGGCCCCTGTTGCTGAAATGTGCCTTACTGCTGTGGTGAGCTCACCAAATCTGATGGCTCAGCTTCTGCCAAGTGGGAGTGCTCAGCGCATAGTCAAGTTTCGGGATTTAGCATGGCGCTTGGACTGTGTTCTAACAATCTGCACTGTCTTACAAGCTTGACTGTATAGAAGCTAAGGTGCAACTTGTCAGGCCGCGTGAGGAGCTTCGTAGAGCTGTTGTGGATGATGGAATGGGTCTTGACAATTTGCACTGTCTTAAAAAGGTTCACTGTACAGAACCTGAGGTGCAAATTGTCAGGCCTGTTAGGCCTTCCAGCCGGGAGCTTTTTAGGGACCTGTTGCGGTTGATGGAGAGGGGACCTGACAATCTGCACGGTCCTGAACGTTTAATGTATAGAACCAGAGGTGCAAATTGTGAGGCCTGTCAGGCCTTCCAGCCGGGAGCTTTTTTGGGACCTGTTGTGGTTGATGGAAGGGGGTCGTGACAATCTGCACTGGCTTGAAAAGTTCACTGTATAGAGCTTGAGGTGCATAAAGTCAGGCCTGTTAGGGCCCCCAGCCGGGAGCTTTTGTGGCACCTGTTGTGGTTGATGGAGAGGGGCTGACAATCTGCACTGTCTTGAACGTTTAATGTATAGAACTAGAGGTGCAGATTGACGGCCCCCAGCCGGGAGCTCTTCAGTCCCTTCTGTGGTTGATGGAAAGGGGTCCTGACAATTTGCCCTGTGTTGAACGTTCAATGTATAGAACCACAGGTGCAAATTGTCAGGCTTCAACCGGGAGCTTTCTGGGCGATGTAGTGAGCCAAACTTAACACTGGCCGGAAGAAAATCCGGTATGTTACCTTTCTTGTTCGACAGTCAAATGGTACTCGAAAAGGGCTTGCAGAATTCCAGAACTTCCTCCGACTTTATCTTTACCTCACTCTTCACTAAATCGTTCGTCTTTGTTTTCACCGTGCATCACGTGCATGTCGGCTAGTGCTGTGCGGTACTTTCATATATCTACTAGACTCCTTGCGTCCAGAAGGCCGTCGCCTTTGTAACCAGTTTTGCAGATTACTTATGACCTTTCTGGTGGGCTCAGTCCCATTGTGAACAACTTAGTAAAGTTCGTAGTCATCGTCAGAAGCGAGTGAACGTTGAGCCAATTGGTCAAAAGCTGCACCGGCTTCAAGACACCTTAATGGGGTCAAGACAATCTGCACTT